TTATTTTATTTTTTTACCTACGTGACTTAACCGAAAAAACTAAGAGTAAGTACAATAAAATAATATAAAAACATCATTCATGCATTTGATTTAAATGTCACAGCGGCCTGGCAATTAGTGCAGCTGTTTAATCAAAATCATCATCATCGGCCATGCTCAATCCACTGCTTGGTGAAGGCCTCACCAAGTCACCACCGCCACCATCTCTCGCGATCGATAGACGCAACAGTCCACCCGGCACTTACGCACGGACTGATTTCATTGCTCTTCGTAAACTTCCATCGAGTTAAAGGGGTGCCACGGTGGCTATGAGATGTGAACTCCCTCGCCTGGTGTACAGGAGGTCGTGGGTTCGATCCCATCCGTGACGCCTGCTGCTGTATATTTGGAGTTTGCGTGTCTCTCTTCCCCGTGGTTGTGTGAATTTTTTCTCCGTGTCCTCCGGTTTCCTCCCCCCACATTTATAATGAATGTGCGTTCAGAGTATTTGGCTGATATAAATTTCCACATGAGGCCCGGTCGCTTCTGACAAAGAGCTACAGTTATAATGGTCTTGTAAAGTTATTTCTGAAAGTTGAACATTGTGGCCACTTTCTCATGCCCGAGTCCCAACTTAAGAAGAGAAAATGACCCACGACAACATTTTATCCACTTACTCAGAGCCCACGGTCATTTATATCCGTGGTATAGTGTGCGCATTGTACATTGCATAATTATATGTATTACATATCAAGACTGAAACAAGAATGATAACTGCCACACGAACAAACACGATTTGTCAAATATTTGTTTAGAGAAAAAGGTAATGCATCTCAGAACAGGTTCTGCCTTCTTACATACAGCACTGCACCCTGAACACGTGTCTGTGTGTGTAACATGAAGTTACATAAATACATTAACCTCCTTTCTATCTTTCCAAGTCAAAATTAAATAACTGTTAATCTAGCAACTTATAGGCTTAGCAGGCCAATGTTGATCCAGTAGGGGTTGTTTCTCAGCCAAACTGTGTCCCGGTTTAAAACTTCTGGGCTGTTTCATGAATGTCATTAGCTGTGATGCTCATTCGAATCCAAGGCTTTTGTGCTCGCTTGAAGTCAGGGATAAGCAATCTGCTCCCCCGATTCATATTTGCCAACGGTTGCCATGGTGGCTGTGAGATGTTAACTACCTCGCCTGGTATACAGGAGTTCGTGGGTTCGATCCCAACCCTGACGCCTGCTGCTGTATATTTGGAGTCTGCGTCTCTCTTCTCTCATCATAATTTTCATCACGATGGCTAGGAGATGTTAACTACCTCGCCTGGTGTACAAGAGTTCGTGGGTTCGATCCCAACCCTGACGCCTGCTGCTGTATATTTGGAGTCTGCGTCTCTCTTCTCTCGTCATAATTTTCATCACGGTGGCTAGGAGATGTTAACTACCTCGCCTGGTGTACAGGATGCCGTGGGTTCGATCCAGACCCTGACGCCTGCGGTATATTTGGAGTTTGTGTGTCTCTCTCTCTCATCATCATCACGGTGGCTAGGAGATGTTAACTACCTCGCCTGATATACAGAAGTTCGTGGGTTTGATCCAGACCCTGACGCCTGCGGTATATTTGGAGTTTGTGTGTCTCTCTCTCTCATCATCATCACGGTGGCTAGGAGATGTTAACTACCTCGTCTGATATACAGAAGTTCGTGGGTTCGATCCAGACCCTGACGCCTGCGGCATATTTGGAGTTTGTGTGTCTCTCTCCCCATGGTCGCGTGGATTTTTCTCTGGGTTCTCCGGTTTTCCCCTCCACATTTAGAATCAGCATCACGCGTTTGCTGCTATAAATGATCCACGCGACGATAAGCCACTTCGTCGCTTCTGAAAAAGATCCGCACAACTCAGCGGGGCCTTACCTGCTCAAAATAAAACCAACCAAAAAGTTTAGTTTCAATAAATAGTTTTCGCAGTAGTGTACGTTGAACTTCTGTTCACTGCAGACGATGCATTTGAAAAGCAAAGGGCAAACACAGCAGAGTTGACCACAGCACACGAGCCCTGCTGCTGCTGCTGCTCGCTGTGTCGTGTGTTCGTGGGGTAAGCGGTGGCGTTGCGGTTAGCGCTTCGCCACGAACCCGGCGACCCGAGTTCGATTCCTGCTAACGGCCACCGACACCAGTGACGATTATCTGAACCGGTCCTGGGCCTCCCCTGGGTCGACTCAGCCTCAAATGAGTACCTGGTGTGGTGTGTAGTAAACATCGTCAGTGGGGAGACAAAGGTGGTCGGGCGTGGTGCTGGCCACACACCCCCTCGTGTGCCGTGCCGGCCTTCATCGGTGCTACTCACTAACAGCACTTGCCCCAACAGTCTGTCAAGGCTATGCGGGGTCTCGTTATTTTTGTGTGTGTGTTTAAAGAGTCCGGGCGCTCGGGGGGGTTTTGGGAGCCTCGGTTCCACTGTGAAGGACGACGACGATGATGATGCAGCACTTCGTGAGAATGCCGGACAGCTCGTGCGCGCGAGCGCTCATTTGGTGTCCGCTGACAAAGAGGCCGATTGTTTGGAGCAACGCCCGCCCCGTGTTGTATCAGCAGTAGCAGCAGCATCAGCACTAATGGCACTCATGAGGGCCGGCTGCCTGTCTATCGCTCGACGCAGATGGAAAACAATCCCATCAGTGTACAGTGCAGAATTCTAACATCGCAAAGCTTTGCTCAGGGTTGCCCATTTTAAAAGAACGAGGATTCCCATCATAGCCTTGTCTTTGATTAAGGCCGGTGTGGTCAGAACCATGCCCGTCTGCTTTTGTCGGTCTGTTACAGGCGATCACTTTAATCCGAGTCAATTTATGGGATGCCCACAGCAATTCCTGACACCACAGAGACATCGTGCTTGATTCCCAGCCGCGGCTAACGTCACCAGGCCGCAACTGACCAGCGCGGTGAAGTACGGTCAAGCGACCCCTTCAGGGAGGAGGCCCCCCTCGTTCAGCGGCGGAGCGACTGTGAGATTTACACGCGCTCTCTACGGCCCTCCGCTGCTGCTCTGTGTTCGCGCACGTATGGAATACTGTATTTGTAATTGAATGCCGTGTCCCCCCAAGGGGTGGTTTCAATGTGGCAGTTTAAATACACTTTGCGGTAATTATTGGCACGCCGTGCGTGTTTCCACGCGCGCAAACACACATGCGCGCATTGAGAATAAACATATATCGAGTTGGGTGTTCGTGCGCGTTCACTAAAGTAAGTGCGGGGGCTTGGGCAGGACGCTGGTCGCGAGAAGGGGACAATGGGAGATGGTCAATGACGAAGATGGATCGGCAGCCAGGGGATGGGACACGTCCAGATGGGGCTGGCCGCCGAGGAGATGGAGCTATGAAATCCTAATGTGTGCATGCGCTGGCCGGGCGGATTTCTGTGATACATCGCAGGACCGTGCATACGTTACGTACGCATGTTGAACTTATTTTGCACCGTACGCAGCCAACTGTGCTAATTGGAGATGCAGGGGAAGGACAGCAAACTAAACGAAAAAAGCAGTTCCGAAGATATTCGTTTTCAATTTAGAATGAGTTTGGCGACTGCTTGCAGAGACCTTCATCCAGTAGTGAATTGACCATGGCTAACGGTGTTCACGACGGCCGCTTCAGATGAGCGCCACCTCATGAGTGACATCACGACCCAATGAAGGAGATGCCATGAATGCCGCACCTCCGATTAGCGCGGTTGGCCACGTACGGTGCGAAAAGAAGTTCAAAGTACATACATGCATACGACACTAATTGTCGCATTAACTTGCGGCGGTGGGAGACACGCCTGTAGCCTGGCACTCCGGTGCAAAAATACCTTTTGGAACCGTGTGGCAGAGGTCGAAAACGGGTTTTGATTCCTTACTCTTACCCGGCCGCACCAGGGTCGCAAACAGGTACCCGTACCCGTAGCCGGGTATCGGGTAGGGTACGGGTATCGGGTACCCGATTGCGACCTCTGCCGTGTGGAACCGCGCGGCTTTGTGAATCTCTCGATCCACCGCTGGGTTAGCTGTGAGGGGGTCAGGAGAGAGCAGTACAGGTACTCCTCTACTCACGAACGAGTTAGGTTCCAGAGGTCTGTTCGTAAGCCGGTTTGTTCCTAAATACAATTTTATTCCCGTCGATTCCAAACATGGTGTACGGCATGTACACTAAACACGGCAAATGGCTTCAAAGTTGTATAATCTGCTGTAGACGTAGATGCCACTGGGTCTTCATGTTCTGCGGATGTAGATGCCACTGGTTATTCATTTTCTGCAGATGTAAATGGGATTAGTTCTTCATGTTCTGAAGATATAGATATCACTGTTTCTTCATGTTCTGTAGATGTAGATGCCACTGGTTCTTCATGTTCTGCAGATGTAGATGCCACTGGTTATTCACGTTCTGCAGATGTAGATGCCACTGGTTATTCACGTTCTGCAGATGTAGATGCCACTGGTTCTTCACGTTCTGCAGATGTAGATGCCATTGGTTCTTCATGTTTTGCAGATGTAGACGCCACTGGTTTTTTGTGTTCTGCAAATGTAGATGTCACTGGTTCTTCACGTTCTGCAGATGTAGATGCCGCTGGTTCTTCACGTTCTGCAGATGTAGATGCCACTGGTTCTTCACGTTCTGCAGATGTAGATGCCACTGGTTCTTCACGTTCTGCAGATGTAGATGCCACTGGTTCTTCACGTTCTGCAGATGTAGATGCCACTGGTTTTTCACGTTCTGCAGATGTAGATGCCACTGCCGCCATTTATTGCACTGCGGTTGAACTTACCACTCTCGGTCCGAACAGGCAACTGGACGTACGGATCAGGTTTGTTCTTATCTCTGAAAGTTTATCAGTCGAATGTTCGTAATTTATTTTTTTGGAGTGGGCGGCGCTGCCGGTTCAGTGGGCGTGTCTGTTGAGAACTGACTGGAGCCTGAGACCCAAGTGTCCCGGCTGAGCCTCCCAACAATAAAAATCCGACGGCTGTTAACGTCGTTCCTTGACTTCTCAGATTCGAACGCAACCCGACCAACTTCGGCTGCCAGGATGAATACGACCTCGGAGCCAGCCGGGGGCAACACCAGCGGAACCACGAGCAACGTTGCGCTCCAGACAACCGCCCACCACGGCGCGGCGAGTTCGAGTCCCGCCCTGAGCACCACCTTACTGAACAACCTGACGTCAACGACGCTCAATGCAACCCAAGGTGTCACGGCGGGAGGAACCAAATCTCTGCTCAGTGAAGGTACAGAGACTCAACGTCGCACTCACAAACGTCCTACACTGTTGTGGCGAGCGCAGTTAGCGAGCACCTCTTGAGACTGGCACGGTGGACGATGGGGTCGTTGTGGTGAGAACCACTCCTGGCTGTCATTGTCTCCCCGCTACTGATGGCTAATACCCCACACTGAGTATTAATTTACGGCTGAGTTGACCCTGTGGATACCCAGGCCTGTTTATGATATCACTATCCACTCTCCACTGATGTTGGCCTTGGCTGGGAATCGACTACAGGTCTCCTGGTTCGTAGTACAGTGGGCTAACTTACTGCGCCAATGCTTGCCGCATGCAAACACACACGTACATATGTGACAGATATCTCTTTCATAGCGTGTGCAAACTTGGAGCACAAGTGATGTCAGCAAGCACCTATTGAGTCCAGACACACACATTAGGTTTGTGAGTATATCAGAATGAGTGGCAATGCATACAAAACCATCCACCTTTATCTCTCCATTGTGTGTATGTATACATGGGAACCGACACACTGATCAACATGTGTGTATACATTCAAACATTTTGAACTTCTTTCGCACCGTACGTAGCTAAATGTGCAAATTGGAGGTGCCGGGGGAAGGAAAAAAAACTAAACACAACAAGCAGTTCTAAAGAAATGAAATTTCAATCGCGAATTGCCGATGTTGACTGCACCACAGCACCACGTGGGCTCCTCATTTTAGGCTGAGTTGATCTAGGGGGAATTATGACCAAATCGCCCAGAATACGTCCGATCTCGTCAGATCTCGGTCGCTAAGCGGCGTTGAGTCTGGATGACGCCTGGATGGGCGACCGTTACCCTGCACGCCAGGCTGCTGCGGGCAGCAGCAGAAAGCAGTGCAGTGAAATCCATAGTTGTACTGCAGCTCTATGCACCCGCACGTGTGCTCGCCACCATCACCAAACCCCACACTCGCCCAAGCCTGGTGAAGCGCGGTCAAACAAACCCGTACGGCCCGCACGGCCCGCACGACGGGGAGGTGATTTGACTGTACCACGTCTAGCAGTGGATCGTGGAGAGTGCCCCAGCAAATGGTTGCCGCTGGTGTACGCGCGGTCAGGACACTGGGTCTGGGTCAGTGGGAGCCGACGCAGCACACAGATCAAAGCACAGAGGCCGGAGCGCGCGCAGTCACGCACACAGAATGCTCGAGTTGATGTTAAAATGCTGAGACCACGCTTCATTAACAATGCGGTGTAATCAGCGAGACACACTGTCCATGCAGCCGTGGGCTACGGTCAGAATCAGAATATAATTATTTACGCTGGAGGAATTCAGTGAGCCACGAAGCATCCTTCTCAGTGATGTTCAGCGGTTAGCAGCGTGGCTATGGAGCGAACAGGCGGTGCAACTGCACTGCGGCCCACAATCCGGAGGGGCCGAAATTGGAGAAGGGGCCACCCCATTTTCATTCATTCCTTGCAAAAGGGCCCATACCAACCATGCTATGCCACACTGCTATGGGAGAACCCGTTACCGTTCATGAACTGTTCTTATTTCACCAGGTAAGGCCCACTGATCGAAATAGCTCTTTCTTAGAAGCGACCTGCTCACAAATGAGAGCTCAATGAAACGTGGGAATTTATAGCAGCTAAATTCTCGAAACGCGTGTTGATTCTCTGGCGGACCCGGAGAAAAATTTACGCGACTGCAGGGAGAATATGCAAACTCCAAATATTGCAGGCCTCAGGATTGGAATCGAACCCCCGACCTACTTTTTACCATCTTCTTGGTTCTTTCGGTAAAGTCACGTAGAAGGGAAATAACAAAATAATAAAAATAAAACATCATAAAATACAATTCTTGGTGAGAATTCTTGGTGAGAATTGTATTTTATTATGTTTTATTTTTATTATTTTATTATTTCCCTTCTACGTGACTTTACGAAAAGAACCAAGAAGATGAATCCCTGCAGTCACGAAAGCTTTAAATCGAAATAAAATTATTTTTACCAGGCGAGGTAGTTAACATCTCACCAGCGTGGTGCCCTACAGCCTTGAAGCTCCAGAGTCATTTAACATTCAACCATAAAGTTGAAAGTCTGTGTGTGATTCCTAGAATATTGACTGAGAAGTTTCTATATGTATTGATTTTGATACAATTATTGCCCTGTATCGATCCACTGCTGGATGAAAGCCTCCTCTTGTCGTGGCCGTGGGAGTCAAGGAGGTAGTTTTCAGTTTCAGTTTGATTTATTTGGTATAGCCCTGTGAGCCATTCGGCTCTTGAATCGGGTGCAACCGCAACAAACAAAAAACAAAAACATGAACAAGAAAACATCTTAAAGTGACTCTGTGACTGTGCAAACAGAAAATCTAAGAAAAGACAGCAAAATATTGCAGAAAAAGCACTGTACACCAACGCTGTGTGTAAAAATCTCAGTGGGATGCAAGTCAAACTACAACAACAACAACCACAAGACAACTTAGATTAAGGCCATCAGTCTAACTTCGTACTACAACAAACAAACATGGCCAAACACACAAACATGGTCAGTGTGGGTTGTTGAAGGGGCAGCTCAGGGCTGGTTCGGATATCACTCGTTCATAACCATTGGCTCCTGCCATAGGAATGTGGAATTTTCACAGCACTCCGGGGGTGTCTCCAACATCGAAACGGAACAGGAATCTCAGCATGCTGTGCATGTCGTGGTGACGTCGCAACCGTTGAGCACATTCTGCACATTGCCTTGTGGTGATGCCAACAAGCGCGTGGTATTCTCGATGGAGGCATCACGAGGACACTGAGTGAACAACTGTATTAGACCGTTTTCACCATAACCGGAGCAATCATTGCGGTGCAGTCACCGATAATCCACACGAAAACAATAGACACGCTTTTGTATTTACATTTAAAGCTTTCGTGACTGCAGGGATTCATCTTCTTGGTTCTTTCGGTAAAGTCACGTAGAAGGGAAATAATAAAATAAAAAAATTGTAATGTTTTATATTTATTATTTTATTACTTCCCTTCTACGTGAATTTACCGAAAGAACCAAGAAGACGTTTTTGTATTTATATTTTCTTATGTTTGAGTCACCGATAAGCCACACGAAAACAAGAGACACGTTTTTGTATTTATATTTTCTTATGGTACAGTCACCGATAACCCACACGAAACCAATAGACACGTTTACGTATTTATTTTTCCTTACAGTAGAGTCACCGATAAGCCACACAAAAACCAAGAGACAAGTTTATGTATTTATATTTTCTTACGGTAGAGTTAGTCACTGATAGTCAAGACAAAATCAAGAGACACGTGTATATGTATTTAGATTGTTTACGGAAGTCACATGTAAAATTATTCATGCTCTCAGAGAGTCACTCAGCATGTCACTGAATATATTTTTAATAGCTCATTGAATTTAACAAATATTTTTTTAGCCAGATTATTACATCTCAAGATCGTGAGAGGTGGCGTTGGCTTGGGGAGGCCATCAGCCAACAGTGGATAGATGATGGCTGATCTGCTGCTGATGACAAAGATGAATGGAATCTATCCCTCTGAATAATTATTCTCCGTTTACGTTGCTCAAGCAGATTGATTTCTAAAAAGCTGGGGTGGTGGTTGGTGTGGGGGGAGGCACTCGGCAGTAGATTTTGGAAACAAAAGGGTTAATGAACACACGGTTTTTAAGGTGGAGTTGGAATGTGTGGAATGTGTGCACGCGTATACACGTAGTAGGTTACTGTTGATGGTTACCAGTGCCCAACCTCCCCAACAGCAAAGGGAGAATTCACACTTAATAATAATAATGATACAATTTATAACGCGCGCAATGTTGCCGACCGAAGACGTTAAGTGCCAGATCGCGTCGCGCTGTTCCAGGGAGACTCATCGGTTAAATGTCGAGCTCAAGGGATGCACCTTCTGGATGGTTTTCAAACGAAGAAAAGGATTGATCGCTACGAATGTGAATAGGGAGGTGGTGGCGTTTCCAGATGACGCGGGCGTGGGGCTGCGACGGATATGAGCAAGACATATAGCATTTGTTATTGCAAAAATGTGCTCAAGAATATATGTACAGTATATATAAATAAAGACAAAGAACCCCCCGTGTAGCCTTAACAGACTGTTGGGGCAAGTGCTGTTAGCGAGCACCTATGAAGGCCGAAACGGTACACGAGGGGGTGGGTGGCCAGCACCACGCCCGACCGCCTTTGTCTCCCAGTGGCGATGTTTACACACCGCACCAGGTACTCATTTGAGGCTGAGTCGACCTAGGGGAGGCCCAGGACCGGTTCAGATAATCGTCATTGGTGTTAGCCGTGAGTGGGAATTGAACCCGGGTCGCCAGGTTCATAGCGCAGTGCGCTAACCGCTACACTACCGATCCCCATATGTATGTATACACACACACAGACACACAGACAGCGCGTACATATGCTTGTTTGCATAGACACGTGTGTCGTCAGCCCATGCACCACCTCGGTAATTGATATCAGAATCTGTCGGAGGATTCCCCTGGCTGGTAAGAGCAGGTAAGCGTGCAACCCTGCAATCGCTTGCTCACGTCGCTGCCTGGAGGGTGGCCTCCGCTCGAGAGGGCATTTTTGGCCTACTCTTTCTCGGCTGGCGAGATGTCTTGGAAGTGGTCGGAGTACCGACACTTTACCCCACCGCACGCGACCAAGTTACTGTGGTCTATACTCTTAGTTCTTTCGGTAAAGTCACGTAGGTAAAAAATGAAATAAAAATAAAAAACAATAAAATCACGACGTTTCGGAGGCAACACAAGTGTCCGTCTTCAAGTGAAACTGTCACAGCAAAATATCTGTATCAAGTGAAGAGAAGTCCCAAGAGTGGTTAAGGGTTTTTTATTTTTTATATTAATTTTGATCTCATTTTTTACCTACGTGACTTTACCGAAAGAACTAAGAGTATGAATCCTTGCAGTCACGAAAGCTTCAAATCTAGAATTACTGTGGTCTGCCCGTTCATTACCTCTTGGTTGGACAGAGGTGGGGGTGATTTAAGAAACGTGTCTGTTGTTTCACTGGAAACTTCTGGATTTGCAAATAGAGTGTGCTGACCAGAAACCGTGGTGGAGAGACGTTATCTCCCTCACTCGGTATACAAGAGGTCGTGGGTTCGGTCCTCACCCTGATACCTGTATACTTGTAGTTTGCTCTTCTCTCTCCTTGTGGTTGCGTGAATTTTCTCGGGGTCCTCCAGTTTTTCTCTCCACATTTCGAATCGACGTGCGTTTAGAGTAATTGGCTGCTCGAAATTTCCAGATGATGAGCCACTTCGTTGAGCAATCATTTGGGGCTAGGTCGCTTTTGATAAAAAAAAAGATATATTCCTCAGTGGGCCTTACCCGGTCAAGTAAATAGTTAATAGTTTTTATTTTAAGCATATTTTTTTGGTTTAAATCTGTGCCTCCATTAGCTCGACTCCGCCAAAAATAAACAACCCGGTGCAGTGTTGCTGCCAACATCAGATCGGGGAAGACAAAGGTGGTTGTAGCTGTCCACGCCACGAGTTCATGCACCATGGATGTGCTGCAGGGTGCTCTCATGTGAGCTCGTGTTGTGCTGCCATTTGTTTGGTTCGATGTCCGACATTTCGCTCTGCATGCTGGGAACTTCTTGCGCAAACTAACGCTCGCCGACAGCACTTCTAACAACAGACACGAGTTCAGGCTACGTGTAAGCGTGCGTTTGCGTGCGTGCGGTGTTTTTGTGTGTGTGATGTGTATGCATGCGCACGATGGTAACGTGTAAGCAGATATCCGGTCCAGCTAGTTGCTCTGACCTCGTGGTAACCCTGGCCGTGCGTGCAAATGCTGCTTGAAGGACACATTCCATGCCCGGACTCCCCGTGCTCTCTGCATCTTCAGATACAACTTTTTGCAAACTTTTGCTTCGAGACTTGGCAACGGATTGCCAAAATTCCCGAATCCGATTGGGTTTCACTGGAATCATTTAGAGGTCACGTGTTCCCCTGTTCCGATCAACAGAAGCGAGGAATAGCGAGCCTGTATGTACAGGCGCAGCACCTGCAAGTGCACGTTCGCGCCACTGCTGGTCAAACGACCTCCACATTACGGGGAGCTGAAGAGAGCCCCTCTAAGGAGAGTACTTTGGCCTAATCTTCCACTCTGGCCAGACATCCGGGAAGAAAAGGTGGAAGTATCCACGCTTTACCCCATCACACGTCCGTGACCTACCAACCCGAACAGCTGTGGTGTTATCCTTTTTCCGTTGCGTGGGCAAGACGGGAAGCTAAGAAACTTATTTCAGCCGCCGTGTCGGGAGATCAAATCAAACCGGCGACCTCTTGATTTGCAAGTCACCTTGCACTCATCCCTTCCACCACAGCAACATAACAACAACAGCAACAACAGGCGTTCACCACTCAGTGGCAGTGACGTCGCCACGGCGCTTGAGCCAGGATATGTGCACTTTTGAGGCCACGTGAAGTGTCGAAGGCTCGCTGGCAGGAGGTCGCGGGACAGACCCCAGGTGCCACGGGTTGTCTGACCGATAGTAATACTCGCACAAGGAGGTACATTTTGTTAACCACGAGCCACGTATTGCCTCGTAGCAATTTGGCCAACAGGTATCCTGTCAGGCAGGGTTAGCGTCGGAGCATCTCCTAGTTTGCTTTCCTTCCGCTGCAGCTCCGATGAGCACGGTTGGCTATGTACGGTGCGAAAAAAGTTCAACGTATGTACATGCATAGCAAAAACTAATGAGTCACCTCGTGCGTTGAGTGGCACAGGCACTGTGGGTTATTTAAAGTATGCAGGGGAGGGCTGGTGCCATGGCCGGGAGTGCCTGAGTCATCGTCGCAAATCTCAGAGATCAAATTCCAGTGGAAGGGCTCAATGGTTGAGCCCACCAGTTGATAAAATGCGTGTCCTTTTTTTAAGCAGATAAAGTTTACAATCCCAAAAGTAATTATAATAATTATTGTAATTGTTTACCCAGGACAGCCTTAATTTGATGTCAAGAGTATTTTCAGGAGGGTCCTGTTAAGTGTTCGCAGGAGGGGAGAAGATGTTAACTACCTCGCTTGGTATCAAAGAGGTCGTGGGTCCGACCCCGACACTGACGCCTGTATATTTGGAGTTTGCATGTCTCTCCCTGTGCTCGCATGGATTTTTCCCCGGGTCCTCCGGTTTTTCCCTCCAGATTTAGAATCAACATGCGTTTAGAGGATTGGGCTGCTCTAAATTTCCACGCAATAAGCCACATTGTTGAGCTATCATTTGTGGCCAAGGCGCTTCTTAAAAAAGCTACATAGCTCAGTGGGTGGGCATTAGTAAAAAATAGTAAATAGCTGGCAGATCTTTTTTCAGAATCGGGATATTTTTCCATTAATAGTTTTCTATTTTTTGCAAGTGTAAATATTGCCTCTCGGGAGACAAAGGTGGCCGGGCGTGGTGCTGGCCGCCCACCCCTTCGGGTGCCGTTCTGGCCTTCATAGGTGCTCACGAACAGCACTTGCCCCAACAGTCTGTCAAGGCTATACGGGGGATCTTTGCGTTTTTGTCTTTGTTAACAATAGTGAGGAGGTAATGCAACGTGGCTTATAGGAGTCACACAAAACCCACAATTGAACACGATGACACTACAGCGTTGTAGTACCCGTGGGTGGATTCAAGGATCGGTCATTCCACATCTTGCGGTCCACATGCCTGTCAGTTTCAGGATGCAAGGATTGTAAGAGAGATGGCCAATGCCCGTGTCCGAAGGAAAAGTCCAATGTTACACACGTCACATTTACAACTTGCATCTTCGTATTCTTTGGGTCTTTCGGTAAAGTCACGTAGATAGAAATACAAATATCATGACGTTTCGATCGCAACGCAAGCAATCATCATCAGGCGTTGCGATCGAAACGTCGTGATATTTTTATTTCTATCTACGCGACTTTACCGAAAGATATTCTTAGGTTTTTTCGGTAAAGTCAAATAGGTAAAAAAAATTAAAATTTATAAAAGTAAAATAAAAATAAAATAAAAATCACGATGTTTCGGAGACGGAAGCTTGTGTTGCCTCCGAAACGTCGTGATTTTTATTTTATTTTTATTTTACTTTTATTAATTTAAATTTTTTTACCTACGTGACTTTACCGAAAAAACCTAAGAATATGAATCCTTGCAGTCACGAAAGCTTCAAATCTAGCATTTACCGAAAGACCCAAAGAATATGAATTCCTGCAGTTACGAAGGCTTTAAGTCAAGATTTGCATCTTGGTGTAAACAAAAATAAAAAAATGGCCGAAGAAGCCTTTCTGGAGTGTCAGGATAATGTTTTACAGACAGGTCTCTGCGCTGAACGTTTGTGCCAAATCCTGACTCGTTGCTCGAGTCCGTGGGAGGGCCCTGAGAATATCCCACACACACACACACATGAAGAGAATGTAAATGTCTCCATCTACACTTGCCAAATGCCATCAGTATAAAAATATGTACCGTGTAGTACATGGGTGGAGCGACGTAATGCTTTGTTGTTTTCGCTGTGCTTTTTTTTCCACAGAGGTAATCATAACCATTGCTGTCATCGGAGGAGTGATTGCCCTGTGCCTGCTCGCCACCATTATTTATTCCCTCGTTTTTGGGTACGTGTTGTCATTTATTCCCTCGTTTTTGGGGTCACGCGTGTTGTTGAAGAATTGAGGTTTGCATCGACAGGGCGCTCGCTTAAATGCCTCAGCATCTCAATGAGCCTTAATCTCAACTCGGCCCTTCCAATGGCACAAGAAGCCTCAGTTTCAGGATGCAGGGATTGTAAGAGAGCCTAGCCAAGGGGGCACCCGGTAGCAGCCGCCGCTGCGTGCCATGAGGCTGCCGGTAGGTGGGCCGATGTTGCTCCGTGAGTTTTTTTTTACCCCCCGCACCCACCCCCCTGAGGCAAGCAAATCCGCGAGCACGTTGCATATTGTTGTTGAACTTCTTTCGCACCGTACGTAGCCAACCGTGGCTAATCGGAGGTGCGGGCGGGGGAGAGGCTAACAAACTAAACACATAAACCAGTTCTAAAGAATGAGTTTACAATTTATATTTAAAAGTGCATCGCTCTAGTGCCTTCCTGTGTATATTGAACTTCTTTCGCACCATACGTAGCCAACCGTGGCTAATGGGAGGTACCAGGGGGGGAAGGACAACAAACCAAACATGAAGAGCAATTCTAAAATCAGTTAATTTTCAATCTATATTTATAAGGGCATAGCTCCAAGTGGCTTCCTGAATGTACGTGCCGTATATTGAACTTCTTTTGCGTCATACGTATCCGACCGTGGCTAATCGGAGGAGCCGGGGGGGGGGGGGTAAGAACAACAACACTAAACACTTGTATTTAAGAGCTTGCATCTTTTGAATCCCTGCCTCACTTGATGCAGCAAATCTGGCTGTGACGGTCCCACCTGATGACGGAGACTCGTGTTGCCTCCGAAACGTCGCGATTTTAATTTTATTTTTATTAATATTAATTTCATTTTTCACCTACGTGACTTTACCGAAAGAACTACGAGTATGAATCCTTGCAGTCACGAAAGCTTCAAATCTATAATTAACGACAAAGCAGATTCGAGCCCTTGACTCTCTGTTCTCGTGTGTTGCCCAACAGCTGCGGCAAACGAAAGCAAGTGGACGTCTCCGACGGGAAAAACCGGAAGCCCAAGAAGGGCTCCGCCGAACTCATGTCCCCGTACGTCGAGTTCCAGCCGCGGGGCTCGACGGGCGACAGCCTGGAGAGCGTGCCGCTGCACACGCAGCCCGGCAGCGTGAACGGCGTCAACGGTTCGGCATACACGGGCTTGTGAGGTGGGGGGCGGGGGGGGCGGGGGGTGGGGGCACCACCACCACTCTGCAGCTACCCCCCCCTGGCTGTCCCACGTCCCCCCCCCCCTCCACGTCCCGCACTCTTCCGTCGGGATGCTAGGTTTCACACTTCGCCCCCCCGCCTGGTTTGCGCTGCTTCATGCAGGGCCACGCGGCCACCTGCCGTTTGGCGATCGTAGCGCGTGCGCGTGTGTGTGTACGCGTGTGTGTACGCGTGTGTGTACGCGTGTGTGTACGCGTGTGTGTACGCGTGTGTGTACGCGTGTGTGTACGCGTGTGTGTACGCGTGTGTGTACGCGTGTGTGTACGCGTGTGTGTACGCGTGTGTGTACGTGTGTGTGTACGTGTGTGTGTACGCGTGTGTGTACGTGTGTGTACGTGTGTGTACGTGTGTGTACGTGTGTGTGTACGTGTGTGTGTACGCGTGTGTGTACGTGTGTGTGTACGTGTGTGTACGTGTGTGGGGAGCGGTAGTGTGGCGGTTAGTGTGCGCTGCGCCATGAACCCCGGTGACCCGAGTTCGATTCCCACTCAACAAAGGTGACGATTATCTGAACCGGTGTTGGGTCTCCCCTAGGTTGACTCGGCCTCAAATGAGTACCTGGTGCCGCGTGTAAACATCGCCACTGGGGATACAAAGGCGGCCGGGCGTGGTGCTGGCCACCCAACCCCTCGTGCGCTGTGCCAAGCCTTGATGAGGTTCTGCTCGCGAACAGCACTTGCCCCAGCAGTCTGTTAAAAGCTACACGGGGGAGGTCTTTGCCATGCGTATTCATTTTTTAAAAATGTATCATTATTTTCTCCTGGAGGGGGGGGGGGTCGGGTCGGGGGGGGGGAGCTTAAAGAATTCGTCGAGTAAATATCCTGTATATATTTTGGGGGGGGAGGGAGAGGGGACGGGAGTTTGTGGTTTCTGTTGTCATTATGAATCGGATGTTCGTCTGGCCTGGTACACGCAAGGCTGGGCAAATCATTGTGTGTGGGAACCGCTCGGGCAAAGAGCAGAGCAAGGGAACTCCTTATGGCCTCACATAGTTTTGGGGGGGGGACGATAAAAACAAATAAAACAATGGAGCACATCAGCAATTATCAATGAACTCGTTCACATTGAACATCCAATTGACGTGCGATCTCAATCTGGTCCACATCGCTCACCTCGCAACGTGTCTCCGATAATCATCTACAATTCTTCTTATCTCATTGCATCTCTTATTTTTTTTCCATCAATATCACTCGGATTTTATTAATTGAAAAGGTGGTGGGAGGGGGGGGGGGTTGGGGGGGGCAAGCGGGGAGGTTGTGGGTATGATAGGTGGGGGTAGATGGGAAGGGTGGCTATCATTGGAGATCTCATTGAGATCTGTGAACCAAATGCAGGTATTCTCTAGCAGAGGGAACAACTCATTTGGCGATGATGCTGCTGAATTTGCAGTTGGTGCACAAGATACAATTAACAACAACAAGCAACCAACTCAACACATTCGCCAAGACCACTGCCTTAAAAGAAGAATAAGAAGAAAAACATATACTTACAAGAGACGACGTTGACGGGCAATGGTCCTTCTTCAAAGAGAGAGACTTTGTATACATTGAAAAAATTGGTTTGTTACGGGGAACATTTGATTCTTTCAAGGGGCACCGTGCGGTTAGAAATGCTGACGCCTGATTAGCTGCTTAAGCGCGTCAAACACAACCCGCTCTTACGGATACGCCGCTGCCGGGGCCTACGCCGATACGCAAATCGTATTTTTGGGTGGTTTAGGCGTTGGTTGCCGCTTCATTGTCGTTCGCGTTATCGTGGAAAATAAGTTTCAACATTTTTCTTAGTGGGAAGCAAAACATTTTTATTTCAATTTTAAAGCTTTTAAAAAATGACACTAAGAAGCTGGGGATGCTGCCATAGTGGTGTAACGGTCAAGCACACCGGGGGGACTTGCAACTCAGAGGTTGCCCCAGGTTCAATCTGCCGGCGCGGCTGTTGCAAGGCTGTTGCAACGACGGTGCGAGTTTCTTCAAATCCCTCCCCCGCCTCCATCCGCCCAGCGGGCGTTAAATGGGTAACGCCGCAGTCAGGCGATCGGCAGGTAGCATGCGGTGGTGGTAGCGGTGGTGAGCTCAAGTGGGGGTCTCTCCCACCGATGCTGGGAACGTGGAAGGGAACTCTCGAGAGGCTTGGATTACATTTCCGTCGGCGGTGGAACGAGCGAGCAATCGCCTTCCGTGACCTCTGTTTAATCAAAGGCCATCACAAATGGAGTATTTTTAGTGAGAGCTATATTCGTCGGCGCTGATTGGGATTTGCCCGGAAATGTCGGTCGGCTCACCCCGTGTGTAGGAAGGTAAGAGTACTTGATGGTACACTGTAAAACATGGAATGGTCTGTGAGTACCCAACACGGAATGCGGTTGTATTGAGCATATCAAACTGATTTCGTCTAAAGGGACTCCTCTACTTATGAACGAGTTAGGTTCCAGAGGTCTGTTCGTAAGTCGATTTGTTCGTAAGTCCAACTTTACCCCCTGTCGATTCCAAACATGTTGCACGACATGTACACTAAACACAGGGAATGGCTTTAAACGTTGTATAATCTCCTGTATGTGTAGATGCCACTGGTTCTTCATGTTCTGCAGATGTAGGTGCCACTGGTTCTTCATGTGGCATCTACATGACATACAGGTTTGTTCGTATCTCTGAAAGTTCGTAAGTCAAATGTTCGTAAGTCGAGGAGTCTACATACAGTGTATAAGTATAGCAGTAATACTGTGCGGTCTTTAACCAAAGAAAAGTGGTTAGCTTATGGTATTGTGTGGTTTTTGTACATAATCTTTTCGCCCAACTGGTTCGACGGGGCTTTTCTACTGTACGTTGAAACGCCGTCAAGTTGAGGCGTAATTGTGATGTTCCGATTCGCGAGGCGGTGTGCAGGTCTGTGTAACAGTAGCAACGCTCACAGCATTAAAGTGAGAATTTTCAATCAATGGTGGCCAAACGTTGTTGCTTTTCTGCGCATGTGTTTCATTTCATACACGCACACATATATTATCTGTGCCAGACATAATCTTTCCCAAGGATTCTATCACGACCTCGCAAGTACAGTCACTGGACAATGAATTCGGAAACGATGGTAGAGCAGATTTGAAGCTTTCGTGACTGCAAGGATTCATATTCTTAGGTTTTTTCGGTAAAGTCACGTAGGTAAAACATTAAAATTAATAAAAGTAAAATAAAATAAAAATCACGACGTTTCGGAGGCAACACAAGCTTCCGTCTTCAGGTGGAACCGTCACAGCACGATAGCTGTATCAGCTTCAAATCTAGAATTTAACACTTGATACAGCTATCGTGCTGTGACGGTTCCACCTGAAGACGGAAGCTTGTGTTGCCTCCGAAACGTCGTAATTTTTTTTACTTTTATTAATTTTAATGTTTTACCTACGTGACTTTACCGAAAAAAAACCTAAGAATATGGTAGAGCGGTGCGACCTCCCACTCGCAGTAAGAGAACGGCCCACAGAAGCGGATACCACAGAGCTACTTCCAAGATCTCTTTCCCACGTTGCCCTGCCACGGAGAATATTTTTCATCCATAATAAGAGGTTTTTGGGTCAGATCGCGTAAATATGAATGCATACCTGTCAACCCTTTGTCAGTGCCTACCTTATTACGGACCAATTCAGACCTTATTGGTCACCCCGTCTCCTTTATAAATATCAACGTTCATCCTACAGAGTCCCATCACAAGGGAGAAACACAAACAAATAGACACATTTTTTTTGCCTGTATTGAAACGGGCTGTACGCCAGATGGACCTGAAAACTCAATTTCCCTACACATGAATACGGGTAAACCGTATGGGTTGACAGGTATGTAAATTCATAATCAACGTTTTTGGGTTTAGATCGCGTTATTTATAAATGTGTCGCAACCCTCCACCACCCGACACGGCCAATCAGCAAAAAAGTGTCACGTTGACAAAAGACAAATAGTTCACTACTTTTGCCCACCGGTGTGTTGAAGCCACAACATTTACAATTTGAGTACGACGTTTCGCTGGTAATTGCATCCAGCACCATCGGGCAATTCGACAGAATGATTGGCCGTGTCGGGTGGTGGAGGGTTACGACACATTGATAAATAACGCGATCTAACCCAAAAACGTTGGTTATGAATAATATTTGGTCGCGAAAGCCTACGTAAACTGGTATGTAAATGGGTCGTTAAACCCGCCACAACCTGACAGCCAATTAGTAAGGTTTGTCACGTTAACAGAACGTGCCAATTCGTTACTAGTACAGCACACCGGTGTGTTGGAGAGTAAATCCACAACATTTATAATTCGAGTACGACGTTTCGCCAGTAATTACGACGAGCATCATCAGGCGATATCCAGATTTGTGATTTTAATATTTCATCTTGTGCCGGTGAAACAAATACACTTAATTTTTTAATTGGGAGTCTCAACACTTAAGGAGGTTCCTGAATTCTGCTGTTTTTAGTCAATGGCCATATTCCTGAACCATAATTGTGTGTGACAGTAGGTAATATGCACTGGGGCGTAAAGAGTACAAATGGATTAAGACAGGACACGTCATGCTAAATTCACAAGAGCTCTGTCTTGATTAAGGTGAGAGCAATAACATACCCGAAGCTGCTTTCAAAATTAACAATAAAGTAGGCAGACGACAACAAGTATCAAAAATGAGAATTGCTTTTAGCCTTTCTGGCAACACAACAGGAGATGTTAAGATGCTCAACCACCAAATAGATACCTTTTTATAAGGAATCCAGTCTGCATTAACCACACGTACTTGTGGTGAACATGCAAACCAACGTACTCTGATAACACTGGTCAACAACAACAAACACATTTCTGGCCTGGACTTTTGCAGCTGTTCTAGACTAATTTCAGAGTGCTGATTCCAAATCTGATCTCAGATCTGCTCTATCACATCATTTTTATGCTATCGGCATACCCCATTTTCATTGATTTTACCCGAAATTAACTCTGTCACTTATGATTGCAAGTTGTTGCGAGTCAGTGGCTGCTTTAGTGTTAAAATATGGTGCTGTGTTTTTAGGATAGTGTGTTATATAATATAATTTTATGTAGATATCCACATTTTTTAAAGATTTTTCTGCTGCAGTTTTTTTTGAAAATGCAATCTTTTATATCTCAAAAACCTGATGTGATAGACAAAAACTGATGCCAGATTTGGAATCAGCACCCCAAAATTACCTTAAAACCGTTGGAATACCTTATGCCAGAAAAAGGTGTGTTGACCAGTGTTAAGTTTGCATTGTCTTTGAAACGGATTGGCCTACACCAGAGACGACCTTCTTCATTTTCAAAGACAATGCATATATTATCAGAGCATGTTAGTTTGCATGTTCACTACAAGTACGTGTGGTTAATGCAGACGATTCCTTGCAAAATGTTTTTATTGTTTGAACATCTTAACACCTCCTGTTTATTGCCAGAAAGGGTAAAAACTTATCTTATTTTTAAATCCTTTATATTAAGTTCACTTGCTTGCTTGCTTGCGCGCTTACGACCGTGCACATCTTTCGGTCGTTTTTAACCCACTTCCCGTGATCCAATCGAGCTGACATTTTGCACACAGACTCGTTGTGCGTGACAATTTATTTTCATGAAATTTTTTCCCCAAAATTTTACACTTTTTAGGATTTTTTTTTTCATATTTAATTTAAAATACCAATGTGATAAAAACGAAACTCTTACTCAAGAAAAACAGAAATTAATAATAATATAAAACCGATGCCACACATATAAAGGATTTATAGTGAAAAACTTTGTTTTTACGGGTTAATTTTTTCATACTTTGATACTGGCAAAACAGGTACTATCATAGACAATAACAAGCCTCCTTGAAAAATCTGTCCCTGCACGTGAATAACACATTTACACAGCCGATCAGACACACAGCCTTCTGGGAGTGCATCATTTAGGCAGCATTGGGTTCAAGCAGGCCTGACTGCTACTGATGAGACACTGTACTGCCAGGGTTAGCTTGCATGTCGCCAATGCTGCCAAAATGATGCACTCCCAGAAGGCCCGTGTGTGGCTGATAGGCTGTGTAAATGTTTTATCCACGTGTAGAGACGGATAATACTGGTAGGAACCTCCTGGTTACACCAGCCCATAGGGGATTATTGTGTCCGTCCGTCCGTTGTGCAGGGAGGGGCTGGGTGGGGAGGGGCTGGGTGGGAGGAGAGGGTGGGGAGGGGCTGGGAGGGGAGGGTGGGGAGGTGCTGGGTGGGGAGGGGTTGGGTGGGGAGGGTGGGTCTGGGTGGGGGGTGGGAGGGGTGGGGCTGGGTGGGGAGGGGCTGGTCACCCCGTGGTGCCCTTATAAAACTCAACGTTTAACCTACTCACGCCGGCTTGTGCCCGCCCTCACAGTCGGGAATATTTGCGGAATAAACCACGCAGCCGTTGACCCTGGCCATTGACCGAGCAACCCAACGTTCCTACCAGCTCCCTCCGCAGGAATGTGTTTTAAAGGCGGCTTGTTGCCTGCTGGTGAGACACTCCATTTCCAGAGTTTGCTTGCGTTGAACCCCATGCAGGTGAACTACTAGATGCAGTGGCAGCTCGTGACATGTCCACCAGGTGGGGCTGTTGTGAGTGACCTCTAATTAAGGAAAACCTCGTGGTGCTATTGGCCTCCCCGTGAAAGTGATACAACTGTGTTGTCGACCAACGGTCGGCGTTTATAAACAATACGGAACCAAACAACAAGGCACTCAAATGCTGTCCCCATGACCCTCAAGTCCACACTACACAGCCCCTTTGATGATGCCAAAAGCCGTGAGCTGCTCTATTTTCACAGCGCACCCTCGCGTTGTGACATCGCCTCTCATCGCAGCCATGGCCGCCTTCTTCACCGCCCTGAATGGATCTCAAACGGCGTGGCTACAATGCTCGAAGCTGCTCATCGTAACGAATGCAGGGAAATCTCTCACTCGGACGCCTTCACAGCCCCCCCCCCCCGAGGCTTCCCCGAGGCACAAATCAAACTGTGGCGTTGCAGCGGTTTCGAATATGAACAACTTAAAATGTTATCCCCATTAGGAAATTCAGACTGAAATAATGTTTTTTTGTTTATAAACACATTTATAGATATATATATATTTTATTAATTAAAAAATAATTTCTCATCTCCAGCTGCTTGGTGGGGCGACGCCCCAAAGATCCGAGTGGACGAACCGCGCCTGGCCACATGTTTGTGTCGGGCCGGGGACCCTGCTCTGTGCCACGCTCAACGTCGTGGTTCTGTGGCGCCCTCTTCTGGCAGGTTGTTCACTGATAGGCGCAAGTGCCACGTGCCAGCAACCTCTACAGGTGGCTAATGTTTAGCATTCACCGGGTCTCAAAATAAGGCTGGACCCAGAGAGTGACCGACGTTGAAGTAAGAAATAAGTAATATAAAAAAAAAAACTTTTTAAAACACGCTTTTATGAAATGTACGAGTAATGGAAGAACATACTCTTAGGTTTTTTTCGGTAAAGTCACGTAGGTAGTGTTGACTCCGAAACGTCGTGATTTTTGTTTAACTATTATTAATTTTAATTTTATTTTTTACCTACGTGACTTTACCGAAAAAACCCAAGAGTATGAATCCTTGCAGTCACGAAAGCTTCAAATCTAGAATTTAAAAGTGTGTTTGTTCAGCAAAAATGGAAGGAGCCGAAAAGAGAGGAAGACCTCAAAGAGAATGGCTTGACGACCAAGAGATTGGTGCCGGAAAGATGTGGTCACTGCTTGAGCATAACGACACAGTGGACAGAGGAAAGGGGAAGTATTCTTAGGTTTTTTCGGTAAAGTCGCGTAGGTAAAAAATTAAAATTAATTAAAGTAAAATAAAAATTAAATAAAAATCACGACGTTTCGGAGGCAACACAAGCTTCCGTCTTCAGGTGGAACCGTCACAGCACGATAGCTGTATCAAGTAAGAGCTAT